AAAGAAAAGAAAAGAAAGGGAGTTTGGGGAAATTGAAAGCTAAAAGTCATGAAAATGTCTGCATGGTGTGTATATTAGGCAGGCCTTTGCCCAGCTCTCCCTGGGACTCCCTAGTGTGGCTGGAGGTACCACCTGCAATCCAACAGTGGGGTCAGAAACTTCAGTCCTCCCCACTGCTACCTTCACCACTTGCCAAATGATGTCCATTAAAGAACTCACAGATGCATCAGCATTCTCACCACAACACCTGGACTCTTGCTCTGACCATCCTGCCTCTGCTTCCCCAGAGTGTCCTTTCTATACCTCACAGCACTTCCAGGCACATGACCCTTGAATCTCCATGGCTCACCATGACCTCAACTGGGGTTCCCCACCCTTGTTCTGCTGCTCTCTACACCTCTTGAATATTAACACAACCACCAGCACTGTAGTTCAAAACATACGCTGCCTCTCATCCAGGGAAGGGAGCAGGCCATGTCAGAATTCCCAAATTTTAGGGAAGGGGACATTGAAAATTTATGGCCCTTAGGACACAGTCTTTATCATTTCGCTCAGAGCCCCCTGATCCAGCATCTCCTCCTGCTCCCACTGAATCCAGTTACTCCATTCTCTGCCTACTTTAAAAGTGAAACTCCAGATAATTAAACAATTTTTAGTTTCCTGAAGATGAGCACATCTCACACATACTCACACTTCTGTGGCTTTGCACAAATTGTTCCCTCTGTCCAGAATGCATCAGCCCCTCCACCACCACCACTAAGTCAAACTAGTCTTCCTTGAAAATCCTGCCCACCCTTCAAAATCCAGCTTGCTCAGGAAGTTGAAGCAGGAGGATCACTTGAGCCCAGGTGTTCGAGGTTGTAGTGAGCTATGATGACACCACTGCATTCTAGTCCAGGCAACAGGGCAAGACCCTGTCTCAAAACAAAAACAAACGAACAAAAAAAAATACCCAGCTTGGATGTCACCTCCTCTGAGCAACCCTTTCTACTTCCTCCCTTCCCAGACAGAATGAACCACCCTCTATTTGCGCCACCTGTGCCATGAGTCGGCCTGAACCTTTCCACTTTCCTCCCCGTGTTGTAATTGAATGCTGGTCGATGCCCCCAGATAGACTGTGAAATCCTTACAGGTGAGGACTGTATCATGAATTTATCATTGAGCACCTGCACCAGGCACAGTGCCTGATACACAGGGGACCACAGAGAAAGGTAGTCCAATTAAGTTTAATTTCTATTTGGCAGGTAATGGCTCTTCATTTTTACTTCCCACAGAAAGCAAGTGATTGCTTTTCTTCCCTCCTTTTTGGAAGCCCTGCCTACCACCCATCTGCACTGTGCCTCTCAGGTCCTTGATGGATGAAGAAAGTGAGTTGATCCAGCCCCAAGACCAGAGCTGCTGGGCCACTCTGCCCGATGTGTGCCTGCGTCGTGTTTTCTGGTGGCTGGGAGACAGGGACAGGTCCAGGGCTGCCCTGGTCTGCAGAAAATGGAATCAGATGATGTATTCGGCCGACCTCTGGCGATACAGGACCATCACCTTTAGCGGGAGGCCTTCCAGGGTCCACGCATCTGAATTTGAGTCAGCTCTCTGGTATGTTAAGAAGTTTGGTCGTTATCTGGAACACCTGGAGATCAAATTCCTGAATCCTTACAACACTGTCTTGACCAAGAAGTTCCAGGTCACCATGCGGGGCCTCCTGTCATGCCTGGGCAGGAGTAACAGCCGTCTGAAATCTCTTTCCATACAGCACCTGGAGCTGGACCGCCTGGTGTGGAGAAACAGCATCCGGAGCTCCTTCATCAAGAGCTTGAGCTTCTTCTTAAAGAAGATGGGCAAACACCTAGATTATCTCAACCTGAAGGGGGCCAGGCTGACCGTGGAGCAGGGCTGCCACATTCTCAACTCCCTGAGCTACCAGAGGAATGAGAGTCTGGTCTCAGAGCTCAACATTGAGGATTACTTCAGCCACCACCTTGCTGTCTACAGCAGCCCCCAGTTCCACAAGACCATGGGCACCTTCCACAACCTGACGGCCCTGACCCTCAACTACAACTGTATCTCTGACGAGCTGCTGGAGA